ATGGTAATGGTAATGGTAATGGTAAAACATTCTTCGCCGTGGTAACGGTCATGGTAAAGAAAAAAATCACATCGATGGTAATGGTATGGTAAATGGTAACGAAAAAGTCACGGTAACAGGACTCTAACTGAGGGCTATACGCTGATAAGCCATGTACTTAAAATGTGTATACAAGAAGATTTTACTGAGTTACGTTGATGGGGTAGAATCAGCCTATCATTTTACCAATAAAATGGATCGTATGTGTCTTTGATTGTTTAGAAGACTATTCTACACATTTATCACATAATTTTCTCAGAACATACTCGATGAAACTGACAAAACGGTCATACGATCAATTGAGATAATGGTATGCCGAAAATCTTCAAGTTCCACCGTTTCTACAATCGAATGATAACGATAAGTTTTGCTTGTTTTTCTCGATTATCTAAATCATAAATTTTAGGTATGTCTAGCAAATATGAGGATATACAATGCGTCGTATATATCCATTTTGTTTCTTTCTCTATAGACACCTTTGAACCAACACCAAAAGACAAGTGAATATCAAATATAAATTCTATTCTTTTTAAGACTGAACATAATACAGATTTGAAGTTTGCTACACTATTTAATATCTTCAACAATTTTAATGAGTATGAATTTTGTATCTGATAGGCTATGATTGTCAATGAAATATTTATATATTTCGATTGTTCATCGTTATTTATTTATAATTTGTTTAACGTCTTTGAGAAAGCCAAAGACTGTTTCTTTCCATACATAAAAATAATTACAAATCTTTAATTAGAGCGCTTAAAAGAGACACCTTTTAAAATTTTTATCGTATTTTTGCTAGTTTTTAGCTGTCGTTGGTCGAAAAACGTTGTCATTGAACACGATGATGGATCAAACGTTTTTCTACAAGCTACATGAAATAATATCCTAAAAATGATCGATTAGGTAGCTTTTGAGCCAGATATAAAATGCGGAAAGTCCTATGCGTGTCCTTAGTGTTTGTACTTCAGAATACTCTACAGATCATTTTGTCATTTAACATCTCAAGTTTACTGTAGATAATTTAGCCCAAATATAAAAGTGATGCTTTAAAATTCATAGTTTTAGCGTTCGATTCCAACAACTGTGTAATGTTGTTTAGTGCTTTGCTCTCTTTTTGTTCTTATCTCTCTCTCTCTCTCCCTGATTTATGATTTTGGAATAAATTTGAAACAAAGTGCACAAAAAGCCTTTAGAGATATCAAAATCTACAACTTACACTAGATTATGCTCTTCAAAAGTATTTATTCGTATCATCAAAGGAGTTCGTACATAATGAACAAAAAATTAGCAATCATATGCTACTGTTCCATCGTCAATAAAAATACCTCTCTTTACATCAGTAATTTCATGTCATTAGAAATGTATGAATATATAATCTTTTTAGACTTTTCTTTATTTATAAACAAATATAACAAAGAGAAAGAAAGACAATTATAAAAAGAATTGTTGAACGATTAATTTTTCGATAATCGATCAAAATGAAACAAACAGAATGATCAAGCTCATACAGACACCTATAAATCATTTATCTGAATATGAAAAAGTTAATGTATGTGAAAAAGTTGAAAAAAAAAATAGTAAAAACACCAAATAACAAAGAAATAACCAAATTTTTTCTTTATCTCTTTCTCATCAATAACAATATTAAGAAATTCATCATTTTTGTAAACAAGCAAAAAAAAATATAGAGATTCTCTTACAAAGAAATAGGTGAACATGACGAAGAATTTTCCGTTACTGCAGACGGTGAAGTATGTGGAGTTAAAGAAATAGAAATCGGAGGAAGGGTTTCCTTTGATATAATGGATGGTTCACGGAGAATTGTAATCGGTTTTTTAATATGATCATTACCTTGACCAGCTAAAATAAGCACTGGATTTGATAATTTAACTGCTTTTTGGTTAACAGCTAGAGATGATGATAACGATTTAATAACATTCAATTGTTTTGGAATTGACTGAGTTTGAACATTACTTAATGGTTGTTGTGATATTGATATACCTGTTTTTGAAACAGACGTCTTGTTAGAAGCGAGAATAACGGCAGTTATTACTGGTTCATTTTGAGTTTGTGGTGATCTAAATTTGAAACAAACAAGAATTAACTAAGAGAAATGAGAAATTTTTTCTCAATTTTTTTTTCTCCATTTATCTATTGTAACATTATGCAGTGAGCGCATCAAATTTTACTTCTATTAATAACAATTTAAAAATAACAAAACTTACAACGGTCTCATTTGTTGTTTTGGTGTGGGTAAAGCTTGTGCTATTTCATTTTTAACTGTTGCTGCTGTCACTGGTATGAGGAGAACAGACGGAGTAGATTTTGATGAAGATGACGGTTCTATTTTTGGTGGTTGAGGTGGAATTAAACGAATGGTGGTTGCACTTGGATTATTATGTTTAAGTGAATTAGTCAAATCTGTCGTTGTTGTTGTTTGTGATGGAAAACGTAACATAGATTGTCCTTTTACAACTCTAATAACACGATTTGATGTCTGACCGGTGTTTGTAAGACCCGTGGTGGGAGATATAGATGACGACGACACTGGTGGTGAAGGTAAACGTAAATGATGACGAGATAAATCATTTGCGGACTAAAATGAAAATTTTTTTTAATGTAAAATGATATAAATAAAATAGTATACTTTAATTTACCAAAGCGAGTGCTGTTCTTTGATTTGATTCTGTTCTAATATCTGTTCGTTTATTCGTTGATGTTATCGTTGTAATATTTGTTTGAATATTATGATGATTTAGAATTGTTTCATCGTCGTCACTGTTAAACGAGCCATTTCCAGATGAATTGATGATTGGTTTAAGTGTGATTACAGGAGTAAAAGTTGGCTGAGAAAGAACTGGTGGACCTTTCAAATGAGGATGTTGTTGATTACGAGACTGATAACTATTTCTACCTCGTCCTCCTACTAATGAGAAAAATGATGTACCATTAAGTAATGCTTGAAAGTTCAGTTTTTATATTTTAGAATTTCTTATACATACCAAATGATTGCATAAATGAACCTCTTTTGGCGCTATAAGCTCGTTTTCCTATAGTTGATCGTTTATTGATAGTATACGAAGAAGAAGGTGGTGAGTTTTTAAATGGTATAGTTGGTTCTACTTTTTGATTTAAAAGGAGTGTTGTTTGTCCTGTAGCTGAACAGAGGCTAGCTGTTGAACTAGAGTTGATGTTTAATGGTCGAATTATTGAAGATTTGTTAATAACACTAAATTGTGGACGTGTAGAAGGTAAAGTTGCATTTCCTAACGGATATTGTATTAGTGGGCGATACAATAATTTGTTTTGTTGGTTACTTTTCTAGAAAGACAAAGAAGAAAGTTGTCGAAGAATATGAAACGGAAGTGGACATTTTTACCTGTTGATATTGTTTTTCGAATGCTGATAATGTGTCCATCACCGCTAAATAATCAAAAGAGATTAACATTGATTGAGTAGAAAGGAAAGTGTATCAATATCACCATACAATGTCTCTATGAGATAGCTTACATTTTGGATTTCGAATATTTGTTTGATTTTCTCGAATTTTTTGATAAAATTCCAAAATATCTGGTAGAAAAGGACCTCCATTCTGTTGTTGTTGTTGTTGCTGTAAGGTAAATGCTGGCTTAGGTAAAATGGTGGATATATGAGCTGCTTGAACAACATTGGCTGTAGATAATATTAGAGGTTGAGTAGCTTTAGAATTTTGTTGAGTGTTTGGCTGTTGTTGTGATAACAATCGAACGATATGTTGTTGAATATTTGGAGTTAAATTTATCGGTTGAGTCTGACGTCTCGGAACTAGATAAAAATGACAATTCTTTTTATTTATTTATTTTTGAGAAGAGAGAATACGGAAGAAGGATGCGAAGGAAGATTTTTACTAGGAAAGGGTACTTATCGTACAAAATATAAAAAATTCTCACCTAATGTCTGTGTTGGTGATACTTGAACGAGTGGTTGTTGTTCAAAAACTAATTTACATTGTGGATGTTGTTTAAATGGTTCTAATGTTTGTTTTAATTTTAATTGAATTAAGTGTCGTCTCGTTTTTGTATCATATTGATCTTTTACATTTAACTGATGTAAATCAGGTAAAACATGATAGAGTGAAATTAGCATTGTTAAATCATACAATGCTGTTCCAGCACCTCGTACACAGTGATAACCGCAACGATGGTATAATTGTTGAATAAAATGTTCGTCTAAAAATAAAAATGAAAAATATTCAATGTATTAAATTTGAGTTAACATCTTGACAATAAAATATTTTTATATCTATTCTCGTTAATATTATCTTAAATATTTCCTCTACATACCAATAATTGGATTTGTAAACCATCTCCAAAGTTCTTGACTTGGTAAATTGGGATCTTTTGTTTTTGGAAATTTTGAATTTTGTTGTACAACTTTTAAAATATTTGGTACAGCAATTGAACGTTTTTGTAATCGAGATACTCTCTGTTTTTTCACTGAACCTGAATCTGTTGATACAACAGGTGAGACTGATGGCACAGGTAAAATAGTTGGTGTTACGGATATAGCTGATGGAGAAGGTGGAAGATTTTCAGTATTTTTGATGTGTATAAGGTGAATTTGAACAACACTGTGGACATGGACATTTGTATTTCATTTGTAAATGAGGAAATCTTCTATCGTGAATATGAATAATTAATGGTTGTCCATCAGCAAAACATCGTATAGACCATTGTTGAGACGAAGATATGGTTGGATTAAGAATTTTTGGTGTACAAATTTCAACATCATAATGATCAATACCAATATTTATACGTTGCCAATTGACACGTAACGATTTTAATGTCTAAATACATGTGATTTAATGATAAAACATTTAAATTGATTTCAAATTATTATAACACACTTACATCTTCAATTTTGTTCAATATTTTATTTCTATCATGATACCAGTCAGCTGTTGAATATATATCCAATTGAATTTCGACTAATTTACCGTCACGAGCTCGAAAACGTAGAACATACATATCAGGACCTTTACCACCTATAAAAAATAAAATTCAATTAAAACAAAGTAAATAAACAATTTTTTTCTTATATGGATAATAATTACAATTAATGAATAGACTCAATATATTACTCAATATCAATTGATTTCAAATATTACTGAATACTCATAGGAGTTAACTGATATCTATTTTATTAGTTTAGAAAGTTTTTTTACGTACGTCCAAGTGCTGATGTTAATTTTGCTCGTGATTTTTGTAATGGTGTTACTGGTTCTTCGACAGGAGATATTTCCATGATTACATCATCATCATCATTGTTATTTCCATCTTGTATAATGAATCCTCCTTCTAACTGTGATTGTTGATGTTCATATGTTAAATTTGATAATATACCTGGCTGCAAATTATCAATACTAAAACCACTACGAACTGATGGAAGTGTTTGAGACTGTTGAGGTTGACTAAGCATAGCATCCATATCACATTTAATTACAATATCTTGACCTTGAATACGCTCACCAAATTGAGCTTCTAATTCGGCAAATGAATATGAAGTAACTGATTGAGATGGAGCTTGAGCAATGCCCGATGGTTCGACCGATACGATTGATTCATGTCGTTGACCGATTTTTCTCTTGCGAGATTGACGAATTCTTTTTGATTGAATTTCTAGAATAAAAATATCATTATCAATATTGTTCAACGAAATTTATTACTAATCGTACCTTCGTTTGCATCTGCAACTATTTTTCGTTGTCGTTTCTTTTTCGGTGATGTCAATTGCTGTGATTCCAGTGTTGATAATATTTCTTCGTCCTCATCAATGATTTTTTTCGATTTACATCGTTTACGTTGCCGTTTAGGTTTTGTTGATGAACCAACTAAGGAAGTCGATGAATGAGTGTCCATGTCTTTTTGAGATGATGGTGATGATGAAACATTATGAATTGATGGAAATGGCACTCGTCCAGTGTGTAAATCAATATTCTTAACATAATCATCAAGACGAGGACTAAAATAAAAAAGATAAATTAAAAATAATTTGATCAAAATCTATGTTTATATAGATTCTTACGTAATAGGTGTACCAAAATCTAAAGCAGCAGCTTGTACGGATAAATCGTTTGCATTAAACATAAACATCTAAAAGTATAAAATAGTATAAAGATATTTACTCCGTATACAGATATTTAACAATGCTCACATTTATACTTGTAAAATCTTTTTGATCAATTGGTTCATTTTTAGGTGATAAAACTGCTGTAATTTTTAGAGTCTAAATATAGATTTATACATTAAAATATTTTACATACATAGACTGTTTATTATTATTTACCTCTTCAGATGGAATTGTTGGTTCAAGTTTTGGTTGAATTAAAAGTGGTGTAGTAGTCATCATTTGTTCATGTGACAATTGAGACTGAGATGGAGGCGGTGATAAGAAAGAAGATCGTGAAGACAATTGATATGGAGGTTCTTAAAAATAAAACAAAAAATTTAATCAAATAATCACATTTATAACATCCTACTTCAGACATGCTGCTTAAAGTGTTTTTTTTTTTTTCATTAGATGTGGTCTACTAAAATTATACTCCAGTTAAACTTAAAACGTACTCGTAAAAAATGCTTATCATAATCTAAAAAATCGGCAAAATAATAATTCAAGCTCAATACTCGATGTCTTGTTGAAACGAAACATTTCAACAAAGTTTCGTCTATTGTTTTATTGACTATACTCACTTACCAAATTGAGTTTGTCGTTGATTATATTTTTTCCAATCAAATGTTTTTAGAATATTTGGTATACGTTCTGTTAAAACGGTTTTTAATTTGAATAATTTTGGAGACGATGATTTCGTGGTCATTTCATCAACATAGTCATCATCCTAATTAGACAAAAATATATATATATATATTTCATTCTAAATAATGACACTATAAAGACATTGTCAAACGTATGACAATGGAAAAGATAACTGAGATTTTCTAAATAATAGATGATTTGAAAATTTACCGGATCATCTTCACTTTGATCATCTTTATCTGACATAAACAGGAAACCACTTTGTGTTGTAACTTGATTTTCAAATAGATTCTTCTTTTTACGTTTCGATCGTTCTGGTTGATTGAAAGATGATGGAGATTTTGATGGAGAAGAGTTCTAAAAAAATATAAAATATTAAAATTAGAAAAAAAAAAATGAATGAAAAAGTAGTTGATTTTAACTTTACCATTGATGATTTTGACGTTGTTTTTCGTTTGTCACTTTTTCGTTTACTACCATCTAAACAGAAAAATATGCAATAACTGAATTCAACATCGTTAGAAAACATTTTTTATCTTTCGTCTTTTTAGCCATGAAACAGATTTATCTTCAACATATTTACTGAATAAGTTGTTTTATTTTCTTACTTGATAAACAATGATTGATTTTAACTTTGGGTAACCAATTGATGGCTTGATCACCAAATATTTCAAATGAAAGAGTATTTGTTTGAATTGGTCGTTGTGAAGACGGTTCTAGTAAACTTAAATTACTACTGTCATCTAAATTCAAATCATCTTCTTTCTCTTGTTCCAATGCAATTCCTTTCATTATTCGATCATTTATTTCACGAGGTAAATCGAGTAAATACTGTTGAGCAAATATTTTCATGTCCATGCATGCTTCTTCCTCTTCTTCATCTGGACTAATTTCATATTCTGAATCATCTCCATTTGTTGTACCTAAATCGAGAGAGAATAATTATTATTTAAAAATAAAAATAAAATTATGATTTGAATATCAATAAATATTCAAATTCTTAAATTAGATTATGAACAGAATTAGAGGTTAACTGTTTTTCTCAAAGAACAAATAGTCGACTGATTAGAAAAAGTTAGAACACAAAGGAAACTGAACAGGTTTGGTAGATGATATTTACATCGCTAACGGAGTATATAGTAACATATGTGACAAATGTCATGTCACAGATTTCCACTATCAAGTGATTAAAGATTCTCTATCGTATCAAACAACTGATATGATTGATAGTTCAATCATATTGATATTTTAGTTCATCTCGAGTTTTTATTTCTTCTAATTAGGACTTTAAATGCTATTAATATAAAGTCATTAATCAGATTTTCTAAGAAATAAAATCGAGATGAGCTAAGATGTAGATGAGAAAGTGACTCTAGAGATTACAATTATTGAAAGAACATTCACTTGTACAATGCTACATACATAATGCACAGTATATATATATACACTGCTAAATATAATGCACTCTGTAGATGAAAACTGACAATATCTTCGAAATTTATTCGTCTTTTCGGTGTCATTCAATTAAAGTACGTAACTAATATTTTATCTGAAATCGTTTGTCTACAACTACTATAGATTCGAGTGATTTTTCTGTTAAATCGCCAAGTGAATGGTTGATTTGACAGAGAATAGTGTTTTACAAGAAATAGAGAAATACCATAAGTCAATAAAAATTTTTTTTGAAAAGTCAACTAAATAAAAATGATGTTTAGACTATTAAGAAAATGTAAAACTATTAAACGTATTTATTGTATAATTTGAATATTCTTCCATCTTATATGAGATCAGAAAAAAATGAAATGAGTAAAATTAAGAAACTTTCATTTAACAATCGAATCAAGGAAAAATGATTTTCGAGCCTTGTTAATAGACGCAGAATCGTTTCTCTAGTAACAAAAACAAGAAAATCTTTATTCAACATGAAAACATTGTTACTGGTGGTGTCAAAGTGTCACTCACTATAAGAGTTTGTTCTCCAAAGTGATTTTTGACATATATGATGTTTTGTTAGGTTTTTTCGTCAAAAAAAAGTGTTGATTCCATTTGAATCAGAAAAAACGATGTGAGCCGAATTACGCGGTGGTTGAAACATATATTAAACTCCAACGTATCATGTGACCATTTAACTATTTATTATATGTAACTGACTAGGGGGGGGGGGCGGGGGGGGG